CTGAGCCCCAGACCCTGCTGGAGAGGGCATGGCCAGTGAAAAGGGGGAATTCAGAGCTGAGAAGCAATGAAGGCGATAAAGGATAACCAGTACAGGCCCAATGCCCCTTATCCACCTTGTGCAAATATTTCATTTTTCAAGGCCCAGTTCAAGTACCACCTCCTTCACAAGGACTTTCCTGGCTCTTCTGCCCCTTCCATCTGGGTAGAAATGATTCCTTTCCCTTTGTGAGTATAGAATCCTCCCCGACCCTGACATACATAACCGTACCCTAGTCATACTTCTACTGGGAGACTTAGGGTGGTTGATTGCAGTTTCTGTTCACTTGTGTACCCCCACCTAGGGTTGCCAGAAAAAAATCCAGGACACCCAGTTCAATTTGAATAGCAGATTAACATTTTTTGTGTAAGTATATCCCAATTATTGCATGAGACATACTTACTAAAAAAAATAAGTATTGCTTATCTGAAACTCCAGTGTAACTGGATGTCTTGTTTTTATTTGCCAAACAGGCAGCCCTTCCCCCACCTCCACCTCCAACTGTGGTCTCCTTGATGGTAGAACATTTTTCTAGCTGACCTCAGAATCCCTATAACTGGCCCAAGGCACTACTGTTAAGTGCTCAGTTAATGTTAAAAGGTCACAGGGCTGAGAATGACTGGAGGGAGTTGAGGCTGGAGACAGAGACCAGTTAGGAGGATGAGCAATAAACCATTCCACAAATTAGGAAGACTTCAACAGAATAGCATTGGGAAGAGAGAAAGTGGGATGGGCTTGCAGGGTCTAAGGATCTGAGAACTAATGGAAAAGGGAAGTGACAAAGCTCAGGGAGTCTAGGCTGTTGTCCAAGTTTCTGACTCGTGTCCCTAGATGGAGGTTGGTGTCATTCACTTGGGAAGGAACCCTGGAGGAGGCTCGGAGGCTGGAGAGCAGGGAAGCTCATCGATGTGGGGCTTAGAGCAGGTAGAGAAGGGTGGAGAGAGCATCTGAAGGAATAAGCGGAAGACATCTAGGGCAGGTAAGTTCAGTCTGAGGTTCCTGAGGCTATGCAGACAGAAGTATTGGAAATACAGACAGAGCTTAGGAGAAAGGTTAAGCTGGAGATACAGTGAGCGCATCATCAGCCAGGAGGCGGTAACTGAAACCATGGGAGTTGGTGACATTGCTCAGGGAAAGTAAGATGGGGAAGGAAGGTCTGTATCAGAGCCCTGACGAACACTTAAGAGGCAGAGAAAGGAAAAGGAACCCAAAAGGAGTTTGAAAATGAGCAGGGGTGGGAGAAAATCCAGGAGAGTATGGAATAGAGAGTCAAGAGAAGACAGGTGTTCCAAGAGGGTTGACAAAGTTGGGCGCCCCTGAGAGTCCAAAGGACCAAAGGCTGAGAAGTGGCCTTTGGGTTTAGTAATGATGAGGCCACTGGGGGCCGCAGCAAGAGCTCTTTGAGTGAAGGAGAGGTGGAAGTAGATTATATATTTATATATTTGTAATCAACAGTGTCATTTTTTTATGCTGTGATATATTTAAGTGAGTTTAAATGAAGAGGGAAAGAAGACATTCAGTAGAAAAAGGATGAAGAATAGGGAGGCTTGTAAATAATGGAGACAGAGAGCCCTGATATGGGAACCTGAGCACAGACAGAGGAATTAATCTAGCTGCAGGAGGACATGAATAATAGTACCTAGAACAGGGCAGGAAAGCCCAAGGGCCATGGACTCCTACGGAATCTCTGAGTGAGCTTCGGAAAGTCCGTGGGCTCCCTCAAAATTTTCACCAGATTTACACATTGGTGGTTTTTTCAGCAATGAGGTGGGAGGTGGGGAGGGTCCTTGGCTTTCATCAGTTTCCGTAAGGACTGTACAACTCCGCAACAGGTTAGGCACCACCCCTGTGAACAAGAAAAGTGATCTCACATGGCACAAATTCTCTTAGATCTTTTCTCTGATCTCTCAGCTTTCTACCCTACCTTTCCTTTTCAAGATGAGGCCTCGGTTAGGCAGCCAGTCCACACGCACTCAGTCACCGGGCTCTCTAGCTGGGGGAAATGCGGCAGTCCCTGGACAAGAGAGGAGGAACGCCATTGGCCGGGGCAGGAGGAGCGCATGGATCCCCGAACCTTGATTCCTGGATGAAACTAATCTAGAGGGATGTTTGGGTGACCCCTGAAGCTGGAAAAACTGTAATTTCAAAGTCATCTGTAGTTTTCTGTCTTGCAAGAGGTGGTGACTTGATACCCCTTTGGAGGAGACCATACCTCAGTTCTGGGAAGATCATTCAAGTGGGCAACGTCATTTTGCAAATATGAAACAGACTACAGTCAAAATGGAGAGTCTAGGGAACTCCCTGGCGGGCCAGTGGTTAGGACTCCACACTTCCTCTGCAGGGGCCATGGGTTCTATCCCAGGTTGGGGAACTAAGATCCTGGAAGCCTTGTGGTGCAGCCAAAAAAAAAAAAAAAAAATGAGATTCTAGAGCTACCTGTGGCCCCTGAGGAGCAAAAGTGCTCTACCTGGTGAGGTCATGTGCCTGGTGACCTCTGCTAAGTTGCAGGCAGAGAAGAGGAGCTCTGCAACTTATTTGAGGAGAATAGCTTCACTTATTTTTGAGAGGGATTTGGTTCACTGTGAGCTGCAGATTGAGACTAGTTCTTGCGGGAATGTGTTCCTTTTGGAGAAGCTGCTGTTTCATCCACAATTTTGTAAGCTGTCGGGCATAATCTCTCTGGATCCCAGAATGCAGCCTTGAGTTGGGGGGACACTACTCCCCAAGGACTGACAATTTGGGGAGTGTTGAGAGCTAGCGCCTTTGGCTGGAGTTCTGACCTGGCTCTCTCTCTGAGCCTTGTCAGACGTGGCTTCAACCCATCTCCTGTAAGTGGCTCTGAGAGCACAGATGTCCACTAAGGGGCAGGGCCTGGAGGGTTTGAGGACTCTGCCAGGCTTTCGAGTCTTTCCAGCAGGGGCTCCCTGGTCGCCATGACCCTGGAATTGACAGAACCCCCCCTTCACCCCCAGCCAGGACCAGGGCCCAGGCCTTCATGAGGTGTCTCCAAACTGTATGGCACTGCTGCCATTTTCTTTGGCTGGAGGTGGGGGTTGGCGACTGAAGATCCTGAATCAGTTTGGAGGCAGAGAAGGGCCAAGGGGGTGTTTGAGGGCAGCACGAGAGCACCAAAGTTTTGGGGGCACCTAGAACTGGGGCAGTGAACACAGAAGAATGGAAGCACAGACTTGTTTCTCCTCCTTGACCCGGAATGCATACAGCCCTCAGAGAGCCCGTGCCAGCTCCTCACTGTAGCCTGGGAGAAGGGGGCCCCTGTGCCAAAGCGGGCAGGCACTTAGGCAGCTCCAAGGAATTTTGGTTAATGCGGTCAAATGCGTGAGGGATCCCAGCCTCAACTGCCTCACTCTCGTGGTGCCTCATGCACCCCTGGCTGCAGCTACTGCCTCTGTCCTCACAGCTGCCAAAATCAATCTCCAGCCCAGACCTGCCTTCTCAGCTCCAGACCAGTACAGCCCATTGCCTCCTGACGACCCCTCTGGATGTCCCATGGTTCCTCAGACCCGGCATGCGTCCAAACACATATCCTGATCTTATTTGCAAAGAAAAAAATCATGTAGGACAAATTCACTGGGCCCGGGGAACAAGTTTTCACAGGACACACACACAAGCTCAGAGGGATTGCACTGACTCCTTAGATATGACTTGGGGACAGAGTGGAAGGCCAGGGTCAGCATTAACCTCTTCTTCCTTCCAGATGAGAGTGTGTACCTGTTAGCTTCTTGTCCTTTTCATGCTGTTTGCCAAACTGAATTTAAATATTATTTATGTAAATTATTTATTGTCTGTCTCTCATGGTTTAAGCTTAAGAGCAGAGATCATGGGTTCACTTCTGTATCCCTGCTGTCTACCCAGCTTCTGACATAAAATAATAAATATCTGTTGAATGAATAAGTGAATATCCTTGTTCATTACCCAAGATGCAGGTCTCTCTAGGCACCCTCAGTCTTTTCCTGCTTTCTTATCCCCATGATGCTCTGTGCTTCATCCCCCCAAACCAGCCTCCCACTGCACCCTCTTCCCCACCCTCAGCCTCTTCATCACTTGACTTGGGCTGTTTCACGGAACGTGGGTGGTGAGCTCCCCATGCTGGGCCATCTGCAAGCACAGGCAGTATATGCACCCGTCAGGGTGCCCTGGACTCTGATCAGTGACAGTGGGGTGGGGCAATGTATGGTTCTCTGCATCTTCACCATGAGACAAGGCGCGCAGCATGCCAGAGGTCTCAAGGGTATGGCTTTCTCCACCAGTAACCCCAGGCTCCAACCGCTGGGGACTGTGCAGGGGTTGTGAGCTGGCTGGCCTGTTGGGACTGGTGAACACACCTTTGTCACTCACTCTGCCTTGTGTTCCATGCCCCTCATTTCCCAGAGCTGCTGGGTGGGCACAGGCAGTCCCAGGCCAGGCCTATGACTGCTGCGTGAGCCTGAAGTTGTGAGTGGGATGGTCAGGGAGTGACCTCCATCCGGCCCCCACAGCCCAGCAAAGGATCTGACAAACCACAGAAGTAAATAAATAACTTAGAAGTAATAAATAGGGGTCCAGCTCCCACGAGTGAGTCCAAGGCCCACTCCAGCATAGGCACTTCAGCAACACCATTGCAATGTGTCTCCAGATCTGTCCCCCCAGGCCTGGGCTGAGGCTGCGACCTGACACATCTGGGTTCTCCAGAGGAGGAGTCCTGGGTCCATGGCCTGGTCACTGCCAGCGCCTGTGAGCAGTGGGTCCTCGGGTCTCCACAGCTGAGGTTTCTGGGGTCTGCGGGGCTGAGGCCGGCAGGGTGAGAGCCCTGGGGCCGCTGGTCAGTCGTGCCTCCATCTCCGCAGGGCTGATGTCCGTCACTCACCCGGCTCAAGCCTCTGTCTCCGGCCTAGGCCCCCGGCCGGGCCCAGGCAGTTAGACCCACAGGTAAGGGTGCGTCTGCACACCCTCGGAGTGAGCCCTCAGCCCAGACAGCCGCAGGCGGTGGCCGAGAGGCGGTCCACGGTCCTCCAGGTGCTGTTGACGTCCATGAAGGAGACGGCCTCGTAGCGCGTGGGTCGGCAGCAGGGCTGGCTGACTGGCCGCGAGCCGGGGGGCGGCCGCAGGGCCCCGGCGCCCAGCAGCCTGGCCAGACTGAGGTCATGCGGGGAGCGCGCGCGGCGGCAGGAGCCGCTGCAGAAGCGGAAACGCACCAGCTCGTCGGAGTGGTGGCCCAAGCCGAGCGCGCGCACCGGCACCAGCTGAGAGCGCAGGCGGCAGCCCCGCGCCCCCGCGGCCCGCGCGCGGCTCCCCCGGCTCCCGCGGCCGCCCCGGCCCCCAGCCCGCGCAGCGCGGGGCCCTCGGGGGGCAGCGGGCGAGGGCGAGGGCGCGGGCGGCGGGGGCGGCAGCCGCCGGGCTCTTCCGCCGCACAGACCGGCCGCGCGGCCCCCTGGAACGAGACGCAGTCACGCGCGGGTCCCCGGCCAGCCCGCCCCGCCCCCCCCGCGCCCTCGCCCTCTCACCTACCAGGCAGGGGACCCGCGGGGGGCGCCGGGGCGGGCGCGGGGCCTTCTCGGGTTACCGGGCTGCTGGGCGCGGGGCCCAGGGAGGCCTCGCCCTCGGCGATGCTGCTCAGCAGGGCCAGAGCGGCCAGGGTAGGCCACAGGGCAGGCTGCTCGGAGAGACGAGGTGGAGCCTCAGGGGGTAGGAGGAAACCCTGGCGGGCGCAGGGAGGGGCTGGGGCCGGATGGAAGGGCTGGGGTTGGAGGATAATGGATCAGCTGCCCCGGGGAGCCCGGGTAAGGAATCACCACCGGAGGGCATTGACCTTCCTCCTTCCTCCTGGCCCCTCCCTGACCGTTCCTCCACCTACTTCTGACGCCTGCCCAGGGAGCTCTGCTCTCCCTCCCTAGTCAAGCCACCCTTCTTCGATACCAGGTGGGAGTTACTGGGAGAACCACTCACCTGCCGCCTAGGCCGGGGCCAGAGGGGCAGCACAGAAGGGCTTCCACGTCCAGGCTCCATCTCTGTCAACACCAGGAACTCCCATCAGCCGTAGTTGACCTGTTCCCCCACCCTCCTCTTGAGGCAGCTTGGAACATTGAGAGATGAGTTATCCTTTGAGCAGGTCATCTCTCCACTTCAGCTTCTCCAGTTGAGGGACAAGCGGCTTGGGCAGCTGGGCTCAACCCAGGAGAAGTGGCTGCATTGAGAACCTATTTCATGGTGCTTTGCACCTGTTCCCTCTTTCAGCCCTCACAACTCCATGAGGTAAATGGTATTATCCCCATTTTCCAGATGAGCAAACAAGGCTCAGAGAAGCTCAGCAATTATCTAAGGTCACAAGGGTAGACCCACGCAGCCGTGCAGGGAAGGGGACCTTCCCGCTCTGTGCTGCAGGGCTGGAGAAGGGAGCAGTTGGACAGCCTTGATCTCACAGAGAGCCTTCTCTCCATGCCACAGAGGAGGAAGTTGTGGCCTGGGGAAAAATTAGGGTGCTTGCTGGTTGACCTGAGTTATCTGATGATGGTGAGGCCCAGGCTTCAGCCTGTGCTGCCCACCCAGCAGATGGTGGAGGGTGATGAGCCCTCTAGGAATATGAGGCCTGGGCCGTGGCTCCCTATGGCCACCAGGGGGTAGCATTTGCCAAGCCTGTGGACTCAAACTGGGGGGGGGGGGGGGGG